CTCTCCTGAGGACTCCCCAAACCATCTTCTTGTCCCTCTTTCAGGCCTTCACACCTGGCAGTGGATGGTTGGCTGTGAGCTCCGGGGAGACGGGAGCAAAGGAGGGTTTTTGCGCTATGGATACGATGGGAGGACTTTCATCAGTTTCGACAAGGAGACCCTCACCTGGGTGGCTCCTGAGCCCCAGGCCCAGATCACCCAGAGGAAATGGGATGCTGTTCCAGGATTCAATCAGAGAAGGAAGGCCGACCTGGAGGAAATCTGCATTGAGTGGCTGGAGAAGCACCTGTCCTACGGGAAGGATACGCTGCTGAGGACAGGTGAGCATCTGGGCCCAGGCTGCACTTTCCTCCTTTATGGCCGGATTTCTTGCACATGTTTGGCCCCCTTTGGGTCCCTGCTCTGCAGCCTGGATGCCCGGGAGGGAATCCCCCTCCTGCCTTTCCAGCACTTCTCCAGGACGCGGGAAGCCCTGCTTAGTTCCCGTTGCCAGGCAGCCATTACGTTGACCAGGAACCGCAGCCTCTGCCCTCCCAAGCCGTAGGTGTGGCTGGCCAGAATCAAGGGCCTGGTGGGTGTCTGTGTGGGTCAGGCAGCCAAAGCACTGAGGGGTGTCCTGTGCACAGCCCATGAGGAGGCAACAGGGCCACTTGGGGTTCTTCAGTGAAACCACCATTAGTGAAATTCTGTGGATCTCTCTGCTAAACCTCAGACAGGTTCTTTAACTCTAAGTCAGTGACCCCCCCCAAAACTACCCCCTCCTCACCTTCACGGACACTCCCTCACCCCACAGGTTTTCTGCTGACATTATAATAATCTGCCCTCTTTTTTCCCTGTGGGTTTGTTATTATTTTCCCATCAAGACCACCACCCCCCTCTGGCCCCACCCCTTCTCTGGGCTCCTTAAACCCTCCAGGATCTACCTGATGAGATCAGGCTCCATGGGGGAATCCCCCCCATTGCCAGCAGCCCCTCCCTGCCCTGGGAGGGCTGAGTCTCTCTTCCATTGCCATCACCTCTCTCTGCCGCCCTTTGAGAGACAGAATCGCTTTCCCAAATTAACCAGGGTGGAATTCCAAAAGCCCTGAGCCCCTTGCTTTGATTCTAGCTCTCCTCCTCTTGAAGTTTTTGTTTTGTCCCTTGAAAGAGGCCTGGAGCAGCCTAAGATTGGGGGGAGCGGAAGAGGACCCA